AACTTTACGCCTCAATGTTTTGATAGTTATAATCTGCAGACATGTTCTCTAAATTCTTCTTCACGGATCATAATTCTGAGTAAATATTGAAAGTAAAGCAGGAAGTGTTGCTGCAGCCTGACCTCCAGCAGCACCATGCCGGCTTCATGAACCAGGGTGATGCTTTCGAAGATCTTCACCGTGATTTTCTCCACCTTCTCCACCTGCTGAACATCACCTGAACAAAGACGAGGCAGGGCGGGCAGCAGGTGAGTAAAAATCAAACGGAGAGGAGGAGGAGGGATCAAAGCCCATGGGGGGGGGGGGGGGGGAGGGGGGAGGGTTCTGGTTTACCTGCCAGGTTCCTCAGCTGGCTAACCAGCAGGGAGATGGGTCCGGTGAACGGTATGGCCTGAGTCTGGATCACGGTGCCCACAGACAGATCTGTGTAGTCTGGACAGAGAGAGCCGTGTAACATTCAGGGAACCGCAGGAAAAACCAGCACTGTCAGGAACCACAAGCAACACAAGGAAACTGTTCTAATAGTTCCCAGTAACTCTGACTGGGACTGATCGACCAGAAGTTCTTCGATTTCAGGAAACAACAGCAACATTTGGAGGAAAAAATAAGGATCTGATGTTTATCGTTTTAGATTTTAATTCCTCTGCAGCTCAAGAAGAACTAGTTTATAGTTCTGTTCAAAAACGGATCAGTTTCAATGTTTCAGACCCGACATGAAAAACTTGCCGTTCATCGATTTCTTTCAGAAGTTAAAGAAAAACATTCAAATAACATCATTAACTGGTCCTCTCTTTTTTTTTTTATATTCTAGTTTAATTCGTATCTTTTTTCTCCATTTCTTGCTTGATTTTTTTTCATCTGTTGTTCTTTTGCTCACATAAACAAAACCTTAATATGGATTTCCCCTCAATGTTTTCAGAAAACAACCTATCAGGACTATTTTAAATTGAAAAACAAAGGTTTCTGTTTCTAATGCAAAGAAATCCTGATCCTGATTAAACCGCAGCCGAGAAAAATCTGTTATTTCAGCAAAAGTTTAGGTTAAAAAACCTCAAAGTCGAGTAAAAAAAAAAAAAAAACGCATCATTTGTGAAAAAGCAGCGAAGCTCCAGCTGGAATCCCTGCCTGGAGCAGTGGCATTAATGAGGAAATATATTAAGATAAAAAACATAAAAAAAAAACGATTTATTAAATATCCAGTTAAAAAGTTAATGTGTGAATATGATGCGAGATTAAACAGTTTGTCTTCTTCCTTCCATGTAGAGTTAAATACGTTTGCCTATAAATAAATGTATGAGGGGCACAACAGAGAACTCTGGGTTCCTCAGGGATATATATAGGGGCCTCTTTTTTGCTATGGGGCCAAAATTGTTGCTTTTTTATTTACAAATGTGTGTGGAGAGTTGTATATCTGTATCTCGATTTGTGTGTGTGCAGGGGGATTTGAAAACGTGTAAATGAAACTGTAAATGTGTGTCTGTAAAATAATCTGCAAATGTGCAAAACTACTTGTGTGTGTGTAATCTGGTTTGCAAATGTGTAAAAAATCCACAAATCTGTATTCAGATTTACAAATCTGTAGTAAGGTTTGCAAATGTGTAGAACAATCTGTAAGCACATACAGAGACACTGTCTGAAGTATTTTCGCTTCAACACCCAGAAATACAGACATCATTGGTTACAGGTCCAGCGGTTTCTCGGTTGGTTCTCTTTACACACGTGATTTTTGCTACACTTCTGCCGTGTGAGATGCACAAATGCGTAAAAGGATTTGATCTGTAATATCTGGATTTGCTGCCCTGGGCGCAGGCTTGCAGGCTGCCTCTTCCTCTTCCTTTTCCCCCCCCGCTGCGGGAGTTTTTTTTTTTGGGATTATTTGTAGCCGCTGTAGGTACCAGATTGACTCGGGCTGCCAGATTGACTCGGGGGCGTGCACCTTTTGATGACGTCACAATACATAATTGTTTTAACGTTTGCACAATTGCGCAAAACATTTTGATTGGTCTGGACAGCTTACTAAAGTAATTATAGCGGGGTGTAGGTTTTATTCGAAAGCGGGATTGCGGTTTGTAAACTGACAATTTTACGAAGAAATTCTCCATGGTCCCTGCGCCTTCCGATGACGTCACCGAAATCGCCATGGGCCTTGCGCCTCCCGATGACGTAACATTATGGCAACGCCACTCAAACAGACTACATTGAGCCCGCGGTCTGCATTTGTAATGACAATAAATTCATGAGAATAAAGTTTGAACTGAAAAAAATATATACCCATTTCCTGTAATCTGTAAACAAATTTATGAAAAATTTATGTTTTAATGTATTATAGGTATTTGGTCAATTAACGGACAGTGCCAAACGATTACCGTTTATTGGCTAAATAAAATAGATTTGTGACAAATAGAGACCGCGGGCGCAATGTAGTTTGTTTGAGTGGAGTTGCCATATCTTTACGAGTGGCGTTGCCATATAGTGACGGGCGGAGTTGCCATATTATGACGTCATCAAAAGGCGCAGGCCCCCTAGTCAATCTGGCAGCCCGAGTCAATCTGGTACCTACACCGCCAACGTTTGAACCATCTCGCTGTTAGCAGCCATCTTTCCTTGTCAAGTCAACTCCCGCAGCAGGGGAAAAAAGGAAGAGGAAGAGGCAGCCTGCGAGCCTGCGCCCAGGGCAGCAAATCCAGATATTACAGATCAAATCCTTTTACGCATTTGTGCATCTCACACGGCAGAAGTGTAGCAAAAATCACGTGTGTAAAGAGAACCAACCGAGAAACCGCTGGACCTGTAACCAATGATGTGTCTGTATTTCTGGGTGTTGAAGCGAAAATACTTCAGACAGTGTCTCTGTATGTGCTTACAGATTGTTCTACACATTTGCAAACCTTACTACAGATTTGTAAATCTGAATACAGATTTGTGGATTTTTTACACATTTGCAAACTAGATTACACACACACAGTAGTTTTGCACATTTGCAGATTGTTGTACAGACACACATTTACAGTTTCATTTACACATTTTCAAATCCCCCTGCACACGCACAAATCGAGATACAGATATACAACTCTCCACACACATTTGTAAATAATAAAGCAACAATTTTGGCCCCATATTTTTCCTCACTCTGACTTTGCATGATGTTCCTTTATGAACATAAATGTGTTTATTATTAAAGCTATTATTGTTTTTCTTGTCAGATTTAGATTTCTGGGTTTTGTTGAATCCGCCGGTCGGACCTCGCAGGTACAGAAAAAGCCAAAGCAGCAGCTCACTGGAGAGGTCAGACGGGGTCATGATGTGGTAGTTAAAGTTCCTCTTGACCAGGATCCCAGAGATCCTCTGACCCTGAGCGCACTTCTTGTCCGCCAGCACGCCCATCACCTGCAGCAGAGCATGCTGGGAGTTAGACGGCCCGCAGGTTTAAACACCGAGGTCACCGGGTTCTGGACGAGCTCACCTTTGCCAGCTTCTCTCCTCTGAAGGTGAGCGTGACGGCCTCGGTGTTCCTGGGGTTGTGGACCTCGATGTGGACCTCGTCGTTGTCCTCGTACTCGCGGATCAGCGCCGCCTTCAGTCGGGCCATCTCGTTCTGCTCGCCGTGGACCAGGATCTGCGGAGCGTAGAAGAACCGGGTCACCATCGGGACGATCGGGTTTCCGGCGCGGCGCAGAGCGCGGGCTCCTGGTTACCACGTGAGGCGGTTTGAGAGCTCTGATGAACTCGCTGGTCTGCTGGTAGTCGGTGTGAGCCGAGAAGGAGATGTAGTCCACGGACATCTTCAGAGGAAGCTTCTGACCCGACATGGTGGCGATCTCCTCCGGTTCGGTCATGATGTGCTGCAACACAGGAATCAGATTCACCCATCTTTAATCTGAGGAGTTTCAGCCTCCACCCTCCGGCGACGACTTCACCGACCCTCCTACAGCGGCGGCTCGTTTACGGTGCGTTCGACAAACACGAATGACGTGACAAGAACAAGAGATTTCCATGTTATCAATACATAGAAAGGTGCGTTCAGGAGCGACTGAGTGATCGGGAGTTTCCAGCGCATATTTGGTGATCAGAGGCTTGGTTGACGCACGAAGAGGGAATTAAAAATCAGAAGTTCTCTGTTAACCAATCAGTGACTGGCTGCGGCTGGTGGATTCCTG